GTTTGTACAACTTCTGGAATCGGTCCAGAACGGAAGAGAAACAATGACGCACAGCGGTATTGTTTGACAAAGCCAAAATAGAGTACGGTTGATTAACCGGAGGGACAAGACAGTGCCCTACTTTCCAGCCTTCACGATTCCACGGTATAAATCGCAATCTGCCTTGCAATCTGTAAAAGATAAACGTAATATGGCAGCTTTCACAACATATTTTGGGCTATTTATGTACAAACTAAGCCACTATAAAAGTTAAAGGTAAAAATGAATTCACTTTTCCTTAGAAGGAAGGAGTGACGAACTATGATTATTCCGATGGTGACTTGACATGATTCATGGTAACTCTCAGTGTAAGTCGAGCGGCTAATTTGCACGTCACTCCAACCTTCATTAAGATTAAAATGTAACGTTTATTGTTAGTCATTCAGCGGTAAACCGTCATCCACGAGTGAGCCGATTCTCACAAATTGTCCTCCGAATGAGCAAATACTGTCATCCCAACGAAGCAGAGGTGGTGATGGCCTGGTCACTAAATTAGCACTCAGGAGGACGTGTTTTCGAATCCCACCACCATCACCTGACTCCCCCATTGCGCGCTGTATAGCAGCCCTTTGAGTGGCCGTTTTAACCCTCATGAAAATTGTATCATTACGTATTCAGTAAAAGAAAGTAAAAATGAAAAAGAGAGAGGAAAAAAGATAGGCGAAACCTTCCAAAATTAAGTAAACTGACGGAAAACAACACCAAAAGAGGAACTTTTTGGAAAGGAAAACATTAGAATAGGTATATGTGTCACACATGACATTCGAGTTGGCAATGAATGATCGTTGACAGCGAAGACCAAGGTACATAAGTTACCGTCACAGGGCCTCAAAGGATATGAGCTCACATACCACCAACACTCGCTGATCTTCGCGTTTTGTTTTACATTACATCCCTCTGATTGGCCACTTTCGCCTTGCAATAAATTGCCCATTTAATTAAAGCTCTATCGAGTTCCTGCTTTCATCTTACAGAATATCTCAATTTTAGTTATGATGCATGATGCTTACAAGAAAACCCTTTGTGTTTGCTCCTATCTTATGAAACAACTGCGAAACAAGAAAAAAAGGGGGTATAGGGTAAATGAACATTCATCAGTCAAAACCCTCGACAAAATCAGAAATATTGTCAGGTGGTCCGAAACCGGTCCTGTAATCCACCAGGTGTTTTGAAACTTGAAATGCAATCAAGAAATCAAGTCGCATCTGTTCAACCAAAATCACCATTTGAATACAGTGAACAACAAAGTAGCGATTTTACCAAGAAAGGTTTGAACTAATCAAATAAACAACTGCCCGACTCCTCATTCTTCTGCAATCGAATTTAGGTCTAAAAGAAACTGCCTGTCAAAGCCCACCAAAAAAGGTAGACCTGATAGTTTCCGGTCGAGAACGTTGAAGGAATATTTTGTGACGCTGATTCCCGTTCTTTAATCTGTTAAATCAAATTTTACCCGAAAGAAAAATTCCCAGCAGTCTGCTGCCTGCCGGTAACACACCAAATCCCAAGAAGGGTACGTCGAAATTGCACCCCATATCCCACACCTTGTCTATCTTCAAAGCTTCTTCTACGAAAAACACTTCATATTGCATCTGCTGACCGTATTCAGATCGTGATTCAACGATACCGATGCTTCCTTTATGCCCTTGACTTATTGTCACATTATGTTTCATCTGNCTGGTGCTAGCGTTCAGACAGGTGGTCATTTACTTATACCTGCAGAGGTAGGTATTTCACGTTCCCCCTCCATCATTCGTCTTCTAATAGACTACTTGACAAACCGTCAGCAATTCACCCATTTTTACGGTAAAATCTCCATCCCAACAACCTCTTTTGGCGTTATACTGTCACTTTTCGTATTGTCTTCGAATTTATCCAAATAACATTTTCAGATTATCTGGCTATAAAGTTCGATATTGATGCCATGCCCTATTTGGTGTAGCCACTCTGAGCTGGCACATTCCACGTGGAGATCAACAGACGACGTGGAAACGAGGTATCAAGAAATGCATAGGGCTATTAGGTTGAGTAGGTGTACCGCACCTTCCTGGTTCGGATCCAAAGGACTCCGTAAGCGGATGGTTGGAGAAACACGAGAAAGGGTTTTCAAAATGGGTTCATAGGACTTCATGTTTCTGAAAGATAGTCATGGTAGGACATACTTCACGGTAGCCCATATGGAGGAAAGAGTGTTTCTTTGAGAACCCTAACCGGAGCCTTCGACTCAAAAGTCGGACGCACGAGGTAGTTGGGTGTGGATCCAACGTGGAAGCGTGAACAGAACACTCAGGTGGGAGCCTTTAGAGACCTGTCAGGTAAGGTCATTGGGTTTCGGTTCAGTATGTTGTTCAGTGGTGCATTCATCGTCGGAAAGATTGTGCGATATCGTGTATAAGGGAAATGAAAAACGATCTGATCAGCTGCCTGGTGACCGAATGGGTACTATGCTTGCGTTCTCTGTAACGTCCCGGGTTCAATCCCCAATTGGGTCGATGGATTCACACTGCTGACGAGAACCAATCAGGTCGAAACGGCGGTCCAGTCCTTCTTAGCTTTTCGTTTCAAGTTTCATTTGCTCCTTAAATGACGAAATTCACCGTATGGACAAACCAAATTCTCGATTTCTCTCATGTAAAAAGTGAAATATTGCACGGGAGTAATGGAGTATTTTAGTGGATTGCATGATGGAGTTAACCGCGTACACAGCAAATGAAGCCTTAAATACACTTGACTTTCTCGACTTGGTATTATCTATACATTAATTTTTTTACTCGAATTGAAACCATTATGCAGCACCTCATCTCCACTTGCAGTCCTCGGTTTATTCCCCACAACTATATACTTGAAAGGTACCACGCTCGAGTTTAGCTCTCAGCATTCGACCTCAGGGCTTCTCTCATTGAAGGCGTGTACTACCAATCTGCTAACCACAGCATAATGGAGGTGATCATGATTACCGAGCCAAATTCACTCAGATGTCCTATTCGATGACATTGTCTGAGGTTCAAATCTTAGATGAACCGGTGAATATGACCCGTGATGGACTGTACTGAGAGCAAAACTTGATGCATCCGGAGTGTGCAGTTGAATGCATGCATAGGGCTACTATTGATTTTAAAAAGACTGCAGCTGAAGATAATTTCTGAAAGGTAGTCATTAAAATGTGTATATTTAAAAAACCATTTTAAGGTAGAATACAGTAGAATATAAACAAACTGGGACAGCCATAGTTAAAGCGCACAAAAACAGACAAACTACTTATGATTGATTCGTACAAAGAAAGATCATTTCATCATCGTGCTTTCGTTGCTTTTCTTTCTTTTTCATTTTTACTTCCTTTATTGAATACACATTGATAGTTTTCAGGATGGGGGAAGCGGCCAATTAAAGGGCTGCTATACAAAGCACAATGAGGAAAACCAGGTGATCAGATTCGAACATCCGTCCTCTGTGGTGATAACTTGGAGACGTTACCTACGGGTCACCACCGTCTCGCTGATCCCCTTACCATTTACGAATGAATATGACCTCTGCCGAAATGAACATGGTTTCCACTGTCACGAAAGACGCGGTAAAAGTTCCTGAGCAGAAAAAGGTTCTCCTTCAAACGAGACCGATCATTTTCGCACCAAGG